CCACATGGGTGCTTAGTACTTCTAAGCACCCGGCTCAAGCACTCAAGTGCTGCATCATCTGGTGACATGTCATTGGTTCAAAGTAATTAGCATCTAGCAAACTAATTTCTCAACATATTCAGATAAAAACAAATACTTATTCTTCAGCAAAGAAATCTTCACAAAAGTGTCTCTTCAGAATTTTGGGTGCATGGATTTGAAAAATTGATTCTCAGAAAATTTGTTATTGCTATTTGCAAAATAGTTGGCACCTGTTCCCACGGCATCAACCTTGGGCACAAAATCGCTCCAAACAAAAAAGCACGATAACTCACTCAGTTCTTAGCGGAATTGGACGAGGTTGAGTGCGTTCGAAAGCGGCTGTTGAGCTCTAGGGAGACCCATGTAAAACGTAGAAATATTTATCTTTTTTTTTTTTGTACCTAAAATTTGAGCCTCTAATACCTCCAAAAGCAAGATAACTTGTGAAATAATAGTCAGGAAACTTATTCCTTGCAATATGTTAGTCTTGTAGGTTGTATCTAGTGCCCCCCAGGCCAAAATCGGAGTTTGGGACTATGAGCAAGTGACCTCAAGCGCCCACCTGGAGATTCACAATTACCTGCACTCATCTTCTCACTTCTTATGGCCAACCCAAAGGGTAAAAAGCGTTGCAACAAAACCGGTACTGGGCATCGAAAAGCAAGGAATTCTGCAGCTGAAGATCATCATTCTTCGGAGTCTGAGCCTGCAGAAAATCCACGTTCTTCTCAACCCAAACCTGTGCCAAATTATAAGGGCACTACTGCATATGATGCATGACAGAAGACATCTCAAATGGCTAATGTCGATGCAGAAGATTTTGATGCAGCTACTGCTTTAGTTGCTTTCCAACAGTATTCTCATACCTCCGATACCAACAAAGCTCCAGCCACTCACACAAATACAATCCGGGTTCCACCTTGCAGGCCTAAGCGCATTGTTCTTGATCCAATGGATAAGGTGTTTGCACAATCTATGCAAATGTCTGAAGAGGAAATGATTGCACAGAAGCGATGGGCACTAGAGAATGGGTCAGATGCTGGCAAAGACTCTGGTGCAGAGGATGATTTGCCCATTACCAAACTGGCAGAGAAGCATAATGAAAAGAAGAAGGTTACTGTTACTGCAGGCACCAAGTCAGATGAAGCTCTCATGGATGTCAGTGCTTCCGAAGACAATGAATCAGAGCCTGGTGTGTGAAGATACTTCCTGTCATTCCTTCCCTTATTCATTTTATTCATTTTATTCAACAGATGGTGATGACAAGAGTACTTGGAAACAGCTTATTGGCTCTGTTGAGCAGTTTGACATGCCATTTGAAGTTCCTTACCAAACTTCTCAACACAATCTGACTGGAATCACATCGCATACCCCATTTCCTACTTTCCTTATTGCTCTTGCAGCATGAATGGAAACACGGCTTTCACTTTTGTCATGCATTTCTTATACTGCCTCATACAAGGCTAAAAAAGCGAATGCAGATATCATGTTGGAGGGTGAAAGTGACTGGATCATGCTTATCAAGGATGCTGGAGCCTTCAGAGCCAATTCACGAAACAAAAATAAGGCCTGGAGTATTCGTATTCATGATAAAAGCATGACTGACTCCAAGGAAAGCACTGGAACCAAGGTACAATTCACTTCCAAACTGTATTGTCATATTCTTACCATTTATTTTAGAAAAAGAAGACCGCTAATAGTGCTACTGAAGTGGAACTGTCCCTGTTGTTGACCTCTGATGCAGCTTTGCTTGTTGCAATTCAGAAGAAACATCACTGCAACGCATGCCAGGCTCCATGTTATGTCCTTGCAAATGGTGATCATTACCATTATGATGATGCTGACATGAATTTATGGGTAACTCTTGCGGTATAAATATATATTTTTTCATCTTTCAGTCATATGCTTACCTTCATACTATAGTCTTGCCACTCCACAACAATTGATAAAACTCCTGATGAAATACTCACTAAGCTTGGTGAGAAGTCATTGCGTCAAAAGGCAGAGGCTCGTTGTACTATGGCTCTTCCACCTGCAACTCCTGCAAATCCTGTAGTACCTGCTTCGGATGCGATTCAACAGATGGTCCTGATGATGGGTGCAATGACACCATTGGTGGCAGGAATGCTTCATGGCCATGACTGTTCCCCTGCACGTCACTCTTCTTCCTCATTAGCAAAATGCAGTCAAGAACTTGAAAGCTCTCCCACAGCTCCTGACTCATCCCCTTCGAAAGCTCCTGTCTCAAAAAATGTGGATTTGGATGAATGGCTTCCACAAGTTGACGCTCATGTGGAACGAGGCAAGCGAAATGCCAATTATGCCCAATATGTGGCGAGTCTCAATGCAAAGGGTATATTTGATCTTGATGACCTTGTTCACCTTACCCATGACCAGCTTGAGGATTTTACAGGTATGGAGTATGGATTCCGGGAGCGTCTTTTTAAGTATGCAAGGGAGGATCTGGGTGTAAAGCTCTCGAAACGTCAACGTACTGATAATTAGTTATTTGCTCAACTGGATATGTTCATCTCTTTTTTCTTCATTTGAACTACACTTTATATCGAAATATCTACCTACAATAGGTTGTATCCACAATGGTTAAAGAATTTTCTTGCATCATTGCTAGTTATTGAATATGATGCTTCAACTAAATGTGAGTATACATAGGTATCATCTGCATTTATATCCAGGTCTTCCCTTACTAAGACTCTTTCCTGTTGAACATATGCCTTGATTGCAGAGAAGCCAAGCTCAATGGGATTGTAATCTGGTGAGTAGGGTGGGAGAAAGAGATATCACATTCCCCTAGTTGAATACAAATAAATACCAGAGGACACAACAATAAGTTCAACATACCAAGAGGTTATCAGGTCTAAAACGCGCAGATCTTTGCGGATATGTGCATTATCCATCACTACAACAGAGTTTGAGGCTGGGAATTGTTGCATCCGTAGAAGCAGTGTTTCAATGAAATCGTAGAATTTGGAAGCAGTGAATGATCCTTCTACCACCTTGGTGTACAAGGTACCCATGCGAGACAGACCTGGTAGAAGTGAATAACTGACACAAGGTCAGTTACAGTTCAAGGTAATCCAATTATCATAAGAACACACCGGCGGCCACGTACAAAGAAAGTGCTCTTATAAACTCGTCTCCCACTGACAGACCATCCACGACAGCAATATGGTGTGCGCCGGTCAAAAGAGCTCTCATCAACAAAAACCAATTGGTCTGCTGAATATAGACAGGCATAGGTTAGTCGGAATTGTGCTCGTTTCAGCTCATCGCATTCAATTGCAACTTTTGTAATCTAAAAAGCATTAGATACACCAAGTGCAAAGAGCAGTCAAATACCTTCTTTAGGGTATACCCACTGCATTTTAAAACCCTCCAGATTGTACTAATGCTAGCTAGCATTCCTGGTTGCTCATCTAGGTGCTGCTGGATCTCATCAAGATACATGTCTGGAGTGTGTAGCAAAAGTCCATGAATAAACTTGCATGAGAACAATTAGACAAACTAATAGAAAGAATGTGGTCCCTGCTCACTCTGAGTTCCCATCTCTTTTCCGATGTTGAGCCAAAATTCGCTGTACTGTCCGCCTCTTGCAATTTGATTTCGAAACAACCTCATTCAAGGTTGTACAGGTTTTCTCAAGTGTATAAGGGTCCTCCGTAGGTCATCTGACAATCTTTTGCCTCGGGTCATGAGTGAGATGAGAAAGCAAAGAATGCAGGAGCGCAGAAATACACGTGCTTGAGCTCACTCTTGCTCACAGTCCCAAACTCCGATTTTGGCCTGGGGGGCACTAGATACAACCTACAAGACTAACGTATTGCAAGGAATAAGTTTTCTGACAATTATTCCACAAGTTATCTTGCTTTTGGAGGTACTAGAGCCTCAAAATTTAGGTATAAAAAAAAGATAGATCTTTCTACGTTTTACATGGGGCTCCCTAGAGCTCGACAGCCGCTTTTGAACGCACTCAACCTCGTCCAATTCCGTTAAGAATTGAGTGAGTTATTGTGCTTTTTCGTTTGGAGCGATTTTGCGCCCAAAGTTGATGCCGCGGGAACAGGCGCCAATTATTTTGCAAATAGCAATAAAGTCAATAAGTCAGTGTGTGAAAAAATCCAACTAAGCCAAAACTGCCAGATTAAAAACCAGTTGCCGCATTTGCAGCACTTTGATTGACTCATCATCAAACATTGCTACATCCACTAAAGTGACTGGCTCAAGTCTAGTCCCTTGCATGCTCTCAGTTTACTAAATTTACAGAAAAAATCAATCTGAGAGTGACATTGCTGCCCTCAACCCATTTTAAAAGCACCCGAGAGACTTCAAGGGGCACCCGAGACAATGTATCAAAGGAAATCCTCCGCAGGGTGGAAATGATAAGTACTGTCAGAATTAACTTGTTTTATAGAAACTATACATTTTTAAAAGCACACCGGATGCTACATCAGATGCAGGACATGGATTTCCGTCTTAGACATGTCCTTTTGCCAAGCATATACTTTTATAAAGGCAGTGATTTTTCATAATTCTTCTTTATAGTTTCACATTTTACCATTGACAATTTCTAGTTTTCTGATTGGACCAGGCTACCTTCCACCCATCCTCACCAGAAATGGATTATATTAACAAATTCAACAGTCTTCCGACAGTTGATGAGCAAGGACAATTGATTACACATATGAAGAAGATACAATGAGAGGTGCTGTAGGTAACAGCAAAGCTTTTCCTTAAAGATGATAATGATAACAACTTTATTAAAGCATGGGGAACTTTGCTTGAAATGGCTTAACATGATGCTGAGAGTGGTGTAAAGGAATCAAAAGTATGAGCATGTTGTGTCATATATGCCAGTTGAGTTGGATTGTAAGTGCCACATCTGCTTTGAGCTGAGATATTTTCCTTAATTATTCACAGCTTTCATTTGGGTTGAGTCTCATTACATGTCACCAGTGACTATTGGTGTGGTGGGGTAGTGGTTAGCCCAGGGCCAATAGTATCTGCATATGCACAATATTGAGTAGAACCCAGACACAAGTTCAAATCTTGCCTGCACCCTTTCATTTTTGTATTACTCACAGCTTTCATGTTATGTACCTGGTTCACTTGGATCTCAGTGTATGCTGTTGGGGGAGTGTTGTAGTAGTTAACTTGGGGAGAAAACATTGCAAATTCAAATTTTGCCTGTGAATCACAGCTTTCTTTTTATCTAGATGGTTGAATTGCATCTGTTTTTAGCCAATTGGTTTTTTCCTTAAAGGGAGTTCTTGGCATATCTAATTGTAATCCACTGGAAGACCCGTGAGAGTAATCACCAAGTCTTCTCCCTCTCCCATGGCAGACCCTCAGCAATCACCTGCATCTCTCACTGACAGTCTCAGGTTGGATGTTCTTCTTCTTTCCTCCTACCTTAGCAGCAAGCAGAGCGACCCTACTGAATCTCACTCAAAGGATGACCTCTTGTCAATGCTGACAGGGCCAGAGACATCAGACAATGTCTCAAAGGAAATCCTCCGCAGGGTGGAGAGGATAAGGCCATGGACAGTCCTACAGAGAGCATCGAGATAGCAGCAGAGAATAAAGAGGACTCTGCCAACAGTGCAGAAAGACCTGTAATCCTGAATAAAGACCATGGCAGGGAGCTACTTGATAGGGCTAGTATACTCAAAAAGTGGGTTATACATCTATCAATTGAATGGCTAATTTATATGACTCTCAGTAACTTTACCTTTGGAGTGCATCTTCAAGATTTGTTTGATGTGATTGTCTCCCTGAAGCCTGGTTTTAACAACTTCATCCATCTTCAAAGACCAACTCAAAGCCTGTATATTGTGTCAATTCCAACAATGCCCTCCAATGACTTAACGTGCTCTACACATTTTGGGAAAGACTGCAGAAGGAGTTGCTGGCCAAAGGGGAACCTAAGGTCAGGGAGATATTGCCAACCCCTAAGGCAGTCTGCAAGATAGTCATTGCATTAATGGGTTTGGAAGCCATGATGCCTGTGATTAAGCATCTTTTATCTGCTGAAGGGGTTGTTGGTGCTTTAGCTAAGACTGGTAAGTTGAAGAGTTCTTTCACTTTTGATTGTTATGCTCATGTGTTTCCAGAGCTCTTAGTGTATCTCTCACACATTTTGAAGTCTAGTGGTGACAAGAGTCTAGCTCCAGACACTGATGGTGGTGATGGTGACAAGAGTATAGAACCAGATACTGATAACTGTGATGAAGATAATTTGGAGTCAATGTTGAATAACTGTGATGAAGATAATTTGGAGTCAATGTTGAATAACTGTGAGTCTTGTCCCTTGTAGTGATCATTAGGTGCTACATTAATCCTTACAGTCATTCCCATGTCCTCTGAACAGTGGCCTTGGAATGGTTCAAAAGGCACAATTTGCCTTTGGAATTGCGCCTATCCAATGTAGTTATAAACATGCACAATATCCAAGACTCAAATTGATAATAAATGACAATTTCGGAGCTCTCCTCACTGTATAATGTCAAAATTAGTGTTCAACTGAGAATTACGCCAGACATATGGTCAAAATTCTTCAAACCTTTACATTTCCAATGATATATAGCCTACATACATGTATTGAAACAATAATATGCATCTAGGAAGGTCTACATGTATATAAAGCGCGATGAGTTGTATTGAGGGCAAGACATGTCACATCACACTTTCCAAAAGGAGATTGACCTAATCAAGCAATTGATGCAATGCAATGCAACTTTCATCGCAATTTTTCACCAATGGTTGGTAGACCAAAGTCTGTTTCCCTAAAAAAAACACCTTGCTTGTGAAGAAAAAGATGCACTGGAGAAAGAAGCAGTGAGGCAGTACAGAGAAGAACAGAGTTGCATGCTGGGCACTGGCGAAAGGCGGAAAAGAGCTTAAAAAATCTGCAATGAGGTCTTGAATCAGCATTTTAAGGACACTTGCCATCGAATTCCACTCAATCACATCACATTGCTTGCCCATGTCAATGGGGGGCAAACAATTACCGATTTCAACAAGACGAAACAATGGCTTACTCTTGAAGAGGAAAATGTCATAGTCACTTATGCTGAAGAGATGGCAGACTGTGTTTTTCCTCTTAGTCTGTGCTGAATTCGTGAACATGCCAATCAAATTGTTCGACATCGGCTTGGCTCTCTGTCAAGAGAAGATGGCCTGGATGCAGATTGGGCAACTCATTTTATTACGTGACACCATGACAGCTGGGAAGATACTGGTCTGCACCATTGGACAAGTTGTGTGTGCATGCCATGAATCCTGTCACCAAGGAGGAGTTCTTTCAGTTGCTGAAGGATATTTGAGAGAAGAAAAACATACCTGCTGAATTAGTCTATGGTGGTGACGAGACTGGGATTCAATCTGGCATTGGAACAACAGAGTACGTTGTTGGGAGAAAAGGAAAGGGTGTGCAGCATCAGCAGCGTGATGGAAACAGGGAGAACATCACAGTTTTGCCCACCATTTGTGCGGATGGCACAAATCTAGTGCCAGCTATCATCTTTAAAGGTGAAGCCTATCAAAGCAAATGGCTGCAGAACAACCCGTTGCATGGAAGGTAAGTTTCTGATTGACTTCACAATTGCTTAGCACTTACATTAAGAAATTCAGACTTGGGCACCAAAAAAAAGGATACACTGATGGCAAAATTGGTCAAGCATGGATTGAGGACTTTGATAAATAAACTTGCGTAAAGGCAAATGGCCATCACCATCTCCTGCTTGTTGATGGGCACAACTCTCACTACACACTTGAGTTCCTACAGTATGCCCAAGACCCCAACATTCATCTTCTCTGTTATCCATCCCACTCTACTCACATCTACCAAGGACTTGATGTCATTATCTTTGCCTCACTAAAGCATGTCTGGAGTGACGAGTGGGACAAATTTGAACTAAACCATGGAAAGGTTGATAAAACTAACTTTATGGCAATCTATGCTAGAGCACATGTTTGAGTGTTCACCGAAGTGAACATAAAGGCTGCATTTGCAAAAACTGGCATCATTCCCTTCAATCCCAATGTCATATCCAAGCAGGCCATGGCTCCCAGCCTGGAAACCTCAACATCGTCAACTCATTTGATGCCGCTGGGTGTGGCCAGTCCAGTGCAAGAGATTTTGGCACTGATTGCAGCTCATCAGTGAAAGCGGAAAGCCTCAGAGATAGAAAGTAACTCACCCGATAATCCCAAATTGCATACTCCTCCAGGATTTCCATTACATCTCCGCCCCTCACCATTTCTAGCAAATTCTCCTTCATGTCATTCTCCTCAACAGTTGCCATCCCATATTCACTCATCTCCATCGACATTGGTTGCAAATACCCTTTCGAGGCTTGGTTTGACATCCGCTTCATTCCTGGTAACAGACTCACCCATCCGGTCTACATCTTGTTTGCCACCGCTAGCCATAACCTTCATTTCTCCACCATGACATTGGAACATTAGCCTTCTTGCACAAGAGCCAAGGACTGAGCATGAAGCTAAGCTTCAGGCAGCACTGCAACACAGCAATAGCCTCATAACCCTCCAAAAAGGATGGTTGATGGCCATGCAGGTGCAGAATGTCCTTCAGGACATGTACGCTGGCCAATTACGAGGTCAGCTCAACTACAGGGAGGAAAAAGAGGCCAGGAAGAAAAAGTCGAAGAGATTGAATGCCAATGTTCAAGCAAAGCTCTTGACTGATCAAGAGTTCAAGGACTTTGTCAAGGAAACAGCAAATGAGAAAGCAGCAGAGGAAGCGGCAGTGGCTAAGAAAAAGGATGTGAGGATAACTGCAAATCAACAACTTGCAACAGCAGCAGTAAGGTGGGAAGCAGAAAAGCAGAGCATTGAGAGACAGAATGTGAAGAGGTTGGCAGCATGGAAGTCATCAGTTAAGGAATGGGAGAAGGAACGAAACTTGGCACGTACCGAGAAGCAAAAACCAACCTGGACCAAGCCTAACAAGCCCACTCACATCTCCAGATCTCTACTCAAAGTCCCACCTAAACCAAAACTTGCTGATTTCTTGTCAGAAAAGCAAGTTGCACCAACAGAAAGAAACTCCATACAGAATGTTGATATGGGTGCTGACAAGGGATCAGACAGGACCAGTGGGAGCGAGAGTGGTAGCGAGGATGGAGAAGGTGGCAGAGGTTTGGATGATGAAGGAGAGGGAGAAGGAACGTGAAATGCGCAAACATGGACTTTGATGTAATACACTGTATCAGGCAATCACAAATGATGTGACGACTGTTCAAAGGAGCCCAAGTGCCCTGATAATGAGTTTTCACACTGATTACTTTAATCGTATATATTATCCCCTCTCATTTGCAGATATTAAGTGTAAAGATTGTTCATTGAATGCTAATAGAACTTTCTATCAACTCAGATTTTACATCAACGTTGTAGTATTTCATTCCAAGGGGTAACTAAATTTTGCTGTTCAAAGGATGTGGGAATGACTGTAGGTTTCTGGACTCAAGAAACATCTGTGGATTGTCTTCTGCATGCTATGAGAACTATCCTGGACTGGTGAACCTCCTGCAAGTATATTTTTGAAAAAGTAACACATTTTCAATCAGTTCAATGGAAGCTCTCCTGATTTTATTATGGTGCTGCTCCATTTAATCCTACTGCTTTTGATGCTGACAAAGTGTTGTCTTTTCTTCAAGAATGGCAAGGACCTGCAGATGACCTTGATATTGCTTTTGCTTGGGGTGTCATTTTCCAAACCTTGAATGCAAAGGTTCATGATGAAGCAGCACTCATGGACTGGATTGTTACAGTAAAGGTGGGACTTCCAACCTTTCATGTCAAGTTTAGCTATTCTCAACTCATATTCCCACTTTAGGATGTTCCTCGCCGCATGCAAGATATTTGTTCCAGGTCATTCCAGACACAGCTTCGCTAGCTCCACCACAAGTGATGCAGCTGTTGAACAGGTAACACCAGACTTGTTGCCTACTACCATATCCCAAAGGTACCAAAGGTACTAGTGGAATTGGAGTTCTATAACATTGGTAGATACAATGGACTTTGATGTTGTACTCGTA